TGATTCTAGACGGATTGTCAAACAAAACGAAAAGAACAAAACCTAAATTAATCATGAAGAAATGACGGTCGTGGAGGGAAAACCTATTTAAATAACAAAAAAAAACAAAGAAAACTCACCTATGAAGTTCTAGGGTTCTGCTGCTTTGTGATCTAAAATTCGGGCAATTCCAACGATATTTGAAGGAATCCAATTGGGGGCTCGTGAAGAGGAGACGAGAGGAGTATGGGGTGTAATTTTGGGAAAGTTTGGAAGGCGGCGCCTAGGGTTTGAGTTATTTGACAAATTTGACGGGGATTTGGGGAAAATGAGGGGTGAATTTGTGACGAGGATGACGAGGAGGTGTTGTGGTGTAATTTTGGGGTCGTTTGGTGACCGGCCACCGCCGTGAGACGATTCCCGGCGGCGGCGCGAGGCGGCGTTACAGGGTCTGGTCTTTGGGTGCGTTGAGAGAGACGATACGGGGGGGTGACACGGTTCGGACAGTTATATACGTGTGATCCCTCAGTTCCTGGCCGTTGGATGATGAATCCTCGACGGCCAGGATTAGATCTTGACCAAACGGCACCGTTTTGGGAGAACGGGGATTTGGACCGGGTAGGGGATTGGATTGGGCTGCGGACGGGTATGGGGATGGGTGTGTGTTGGTTTGGGCGTGATTTTGGGCTTGGACAATCAGATTTGGTCCACCATTCTAATCCCTTTAATTCAATTCTTTATCTATTTTAATTCCTTTTATTTATTTTCTCTTTATTCAAATTTGTTTTGTTTTCACTTTTGTATTTTATATATTTATTTGTATTTTATTTTCTGATTGTATAAAAATGAAGTCCTAATATATTTCAAAGTTAAACTAATCAACTCCTAAAATTGTTTAAAACCTATTTCGTGAACAATTAAAAATGCAAAAGTGAACTATTTTTGTTATTTTCTTTATATTTTCCCTTAACTACTAATTAATCCTAAAAATATGAAATTAAATCCTAAATGCAACTGTCAAGTGTATTTTTATATTTTCATATGAATTAACTGCACAAATAAAATGCAAACAATTAACGGAAAAATAACACAAAGATTCACAAAATTGCAGAATAATAAAGAAAATCATTTTGTTTGAATTTATGGAATAATTCATATAGGGCAAAAATTACGTGCTCACACCCCCCACACCCACCCCACCCCTAATAATTGATAAATTATAATTTTAACCTTTTAAAAACTATAAATAGCCCCCCTTCTTCTTCATTTTTTTCTCACAATTTACTCTCTTACTACTCTAATTCTCTTTCAGTTCTCTCTTGATAATATTGATTATTGCTCTTAAATTCTCAATTACTTATTATTTCAAGTTTCATCAAATATTTACTTTAGTCACTACAAAACTATAATTATCAAATATCAAGTATTCGAGTTAAGTTTTGGTATCAATTATCAGTCTATCAACTGAAGTTTAATATCAAATTTAGTGCGGCATCAGGAATCTCGGTACACTCGTTCCATCTCTTTCTCTTCTTTGGTGTATATTTTTATTTTATTATTTAGAATTATTAATTTAATTTTTAATCTAATTTACATAATGGATATATTAAGAGCAACCAAAAAAACGTGCACTAGTAGGTGTGGTAGTAGTAAGAGTAAAACTTCTAAAAAATCAAGAGGTGGTGCTGGTTCTTCTAGTAGCTTTACACATATTTCTGAAAGTTCACCTGAAAATTTGAATGTAGATTATGAGCGACTTCAAGAAAATTATGGTATAGATGATATTCAATCACCTGATAATCTTGAAACACCACAAGCTACACCTAATAATGCTAGTCAAACTCAAAATACTAGGGGTGGAGGTCGTGATAATACAGGTAGGCCTCCCCTCCCTATTAAGAGGAATCGAAGATTAAGAAGTAAGTGTTGAAATTGTTTTAAAAGACTAGAAGAAGTAAAAATTGTGTAAGATATCAAATTCGTAAGGAAGTTTATAAACATGAGACCGGAGGTAAGGGAGGGGAACAGGTCAACTTCGTAGGCACATGGTAAATAACCACCCTATTGCATGGGGCGCTGATGAGGAAGGTGGGCAACAAAAACTTAATCCTGGTACTGGCGGTTTAATGGGTAAATACGATATAGTGAAAGATTGGGAAGAATTAGCTAAAATGATTGTTTTAGATTGTTTACCTTTTAGTTTTGCTGCTTCACCATATCTTGTTACTTATATTCAAAGAATTTATAAATCTTTGTTTAAAGGTATTCCTAGAAGTACTTGTAGAGCTGATATCTTTAGGTTTTTTGGACAATATCCGACATATATCCGTTATTTGTTCGTCAGTCTTTCTTGTAGAGTTTCTCTTACTTCTTATATTGGTCATGTTGTAAATAGAAATGAATATTTGACAGTTACATTCCATTGGATAGATGATAATTTTTGTATGCAAAAACGTATTATTGCTTTTAAATATGATGAAGATCAAAGTCATACTGGTGCATTTATAAGTAATACTATCTATGAAGTTGCTATATTTTATAATTTTGCAAGTTTTGTGTATGTCATTTGATAATGCTGCTATAATGGTTTATGGTTCCGATCCAAGCAATGCCGGAAACCAAGAACCTCATCTTGACATGGATGAACTTACAAAAATGATGCAAAGCATGTGATGTACTCTTTCTTATTTTTTGTAACTGTTGTAAACTTTTAATTTGCAAGTTCAAAAATAAAAAAAACAAATAGAACTTGCAAATTAATTTGAAGTATTATTTATTATTCAATAAAAATATAAAACGAAAGCCTTCGGAGTTTGATCCTTACATATTACCTATTGGTCTTATTAAATAATTTTTTGTAGGCACTTACTTTCAAATTTTAATTTTAAAATTTTAAATTTCAAATTTCAAATTTCAAATTTAAAACTTTAAACTTCGAAGTTCAATATTTTAATTCTAAGCCTTGAAAGTTTGCAAACACTTAAGTATTAATAACATTGAATAAGATATAATTTTAAAAAAAATAAGTAACCCGGCCCGGTCCGGACCCGTTAAGCCCGAACCCGGACGGGCCCACCAAAACCCGGAAATCCCAGCCCACTACCAGCCCGGAACCCCAACCCACTAACTAGCCCGGAACAATAATCGGACGGCTATTTTTTTTGTGCTCAGCCCGGAACAGCCCGCCCGATTAGCAAGTATAGAACTCTGAAACTTAAAACTCTAGAAGGTCGTCGGTCCAAGTAGCGACCTATGTGAGTTCCTTTGGTGGCGATGGTTTTGGTCCCCATAAATAGTCGTTTTATTTTAGAAGATAGTAGGTCGTCGATCCAAAAGGCGAACTATATGAGTACTTTTGGGGGCGACTTATTGGGTTGCCACAATAGTCTTCACCTAATACAAACTTTTTTGGCTTTTTACAAACATCAGCTTTTAGTTTTATGATCCTACATCTTTTTTTATACATGAGAGATTTACTTTTACACGTAAAAGATCTGTCTTACACATAAGAGATCTAAAAAGGTCATTTTTTTAAATTCAAAATTGTAAAGAGGCATGATGTACAAATAGCACCGCCACAACTAGTCGTCACCTAAAAACTTTAATATTAGAAGAAACATTGTCGTCAGTTCAAAAAGCGACCTATATATGATTACTTTTGGTGGTGACTTCTTTGCTCGCCACAAATAGTCGTCATCTAAATACTTCAATATTGATCAATACGTTTGGTGGCGACTATTTGGGTCGCCAGAAATAGTCGTCACCTAAAAACATTTTTTTTTGGTTGAAAGACGAAATTTATTAAAACTTAACTAGTAGCAGTACATAGGGGTGATGTCCCATTGGGACTATCAGAACCGTCTAAGCCAGTAGGGCAGTTAGAGATAGAGTTACTACTACTATTAAGTTTTCCAAGTTTAGCTAAACTATTTATTACATTTGTAGTTACTAGTCTAGTACGAGGTGCTCCAATTTTGTTCTCCTGGAGCACTTTCAGAACATCCCTAGGTGGAGAGCTTTGTGTTGCAAGGTTGTTGGTGCTAGCTTGCTTGGATTCTACTGTAGCCAAAACATGTGTAGCATTGTTTCCTTCTTTGAAGTTATGCCGGATCATCAGATTCCTCACTTCCTTCAGTAATGACCTGCACTCATTAATAAGGTTAGTGCAGAGGGAGCAGTTATCGTGGCAAAGTAATTGGAATATTTCAGTAGCATCCGTTTCAATTTCTAAACTGTGGAAGTGGTTAGCTTGTGCAATGTAGAGGCCATGCTTTGGAGTACAAATTTTCACAAATTCAAATTCTTATTCTGACAAATAAATGAAACAATCTAAAAGTGGCGTCTTAGTATTAATCAGAAATCCATTTTATGCGATAATTTTTGAAGGTATAGTATTTTCTATCAAAAGTAAATACATTCTTAAAACTCGAACCGAGACTTCTGATCAAAGATATGAAATACTATCTATCATCCATCACAATTTTGGTGATAATGTACTTTGGAATTGCTATATACCAACACAACTTTATTTCAACGTCTATATTTTTTTTTTAACCCACGTGTCACGCGCATACGCTTTTACCACTAGAGCAAAGCTCACATGAAAACATTGAAATTCTTCCTTCTCAATTAGTGAGTCCAGAAAGATGATATTTATGAGGAATTTTTTCTTTTCAAGTAGTACTTCTGCACATTTATATTACTTTCACACACCTCTCTGGGACTTTGTAACGTACGATCAGTTCGTTGAATATATAGATTGATAATATCTTCTATTTCCTTTTAGGGGAACAGAAAAGTACTCAGCACAATTACAAAACGATAAGGTAAGTTTTGCTCCATTTGGAATTCTCTTCTTTTCTGAATTTCAACTATGTTTGGTTTTCACGATTGGAACAGTCTACAGCTAGTACACAACAATCCATGATCATCTTGACATGCAACGATAGCAAATAGATAATTCTAAAAGGGCAACCCAGTGCACTAAGCTCCCGCTATGCGCGGGGTTCGAAAAAGGACCGGACCAAATAAATAATTCTAATTCAACTAAAATAGTCTTTTGAAAATGCACCAAAATAATCTGAATAAGGATTGAGGATGTAACCATTTTTCCTATTATACATTGATGTCTCGTTAGCAACTATCTATGCAAATAACCAAAAAAAAAAGATGATCTTTGTTCCATCAGCAGAAGGTTCAAATTCTGAGAGAATAATTCTCACACCAAAAATCTGGAGAAGAAGAGCATACAAAGCTATACACATTGGGAAATTTCTAGTTTCACTTCTAGCATTGGTTCCTTTTCAGGTACCTTTTATCTGCATTCTTGCTTGTCAGAACCAGGCAACATAATTACAGTGCAACACCTCAATCTTTATATCACCATTCGTCATCAAGACTGGCACGATGAAAACATAGAACTGTGCAAACAAATATGAAGAATGACACAAATTCAATGAACATCGCTCCTGTCTGGATCAGATCAGCATGCCTGAGAATAATGGGGATGGCTATGCTTCCCACAGCTGATGCGCCTGTTAAGAATTTAGCAGCGTCCATCCAGCTGCAAATATGGGAAAAAGAATATTGAGAAGGATTTAGTGAGAGTCACAAAACAAAAGATGCAGAAACAAGAAAGGAGGTCGTCACAAAAGTAAAACATAAAATCATAGAAACTCAAACTTCCACAGGACCCAAGATACTAGCAGCAGCAACTACAACAACTACACATCAGTTCCAAACAAGTTGGGATTTGCTATATGAATCCTTACAGACCATTACTCCATTTAAACTCTATCTCATGCCAATATCACGAAAATGCAAATTAAAAGTATTAGTAGAGTTCTCTATGTTTTCAATATGTATAAATCTCTAAAAGGCTAAACCACTCCTAAAAAGCATAAAACCCACAGAAAAAATCTATCATGTTTAAGACATATTCTCATCTAATAGGTATCTCCTATATCGATTTTTCCCTATTCTGCCTTATTTTTCGCTAAGTCCACAATATATTACCAAAGATTGTAGATCATTCAAGCAACTTCGTTCCATGTGATTTTAGGTCTAACTCATCTTCTTCTGACGTTTTTACTCATCATGATCTCACACCTACCGACCAGTGTATTGAGAGGTTGAGAGGTCGATGTAGGACATGACCAAACCATCTCAAGTGGCCTTCTCTTATTTTGTTGACCAAAACATCTCAAGCAGCCTTATTTTATTTCCATGTGTGCTACTTGAACCTTCTTGAAAATGTGATAATTTCTAATTTTGTCTAATTTTATATGACCACGCATTCATCTTAGCATCCGCATAACCGCGATACTTATCTTGTGAATGTGTTGAGCTTTAGTTGCCCAACATTCACCCTCATATAGCATTGTTGGTCTTATAATTGTTCTATAGAACTTATCTTTCACTTTTGTAGGCATCCTTCTATCACATAACACCTCAATAGCACTTCTATGTCACTCTCGTAGTGTAACTCTTTCCCGAGTTTCATCGTTTGACTCATAAGTTTAATACAACAATAGTTCACACAACTTTGAATGTCTCCTTTGTTTTATAATTGGGGATAAGGGTAATCTTTCTCCACTCTACGGACATCCTACCAATTCTCAGTACAACATGAAATATAGCTTGGTAAGTCATTTTACTCCAACCTCTCCAAGTCACTTCCAAACTCCACGGCAATACCATCCAGGGACCACAAGCGTTCTGATCTTCATATTTTTCACGGCATCATTCACTTCTGTCGGCCTAATTCTAGGAGAGATAATGTTTTTACCGTGCACAGATGTTTGGAGATCTAGAATACTATTATCGTGGTTCAAAAATCCAATTCAATCCACTTAGAGCATCATGACTAAAACAAATATAATCAAATCCTTTCATTCTTCATCAAGTAATATTTTTCTAACATCATTACATTCCTGAGTCCTATAGGTCTAACCTCGACTTCTATTATATAAGTTAAATATGAATTTATTTCAAAGCACTCCAAAGTCCAAACAGAATCACATTATATGAATAGTTTGTACTATGTAGTTTTAATCATAAAACAAGCAATGCATGAATTTAGATTTTCACATTTCATGTTAGTGGGTGCGGCGGTCACACCCTTATCAAGTCTTTTCTTCCTTTTTTTCTATTTCCTTTTGTTCTTTAGACATGACCATACCATCTCAAGGACATTTTCTCACTTTATCCTTGATGCGTGCCTACTTGAACCTTCTCACGAATGTGGTCATTTCTACTCTTGCATAGTTTGTATGACTTCATATCAATCTTAGCAGTCGCATTGCTGCGGCACTCGTCTAATTCAAGTGCAAATAGACTCAACAAATATCCTTGTGGCATAACCTTTTCAAAGGTTTGCTTTCTTCAAGGTTCCTTAGCACTAGAAGAAAGCCAATTTTTTTAACAAAAGAATCTTATTAATCAATAAGATAGAAATTTCATTCATCAATCTTCCTAACAAATTGAACACAGGAAATGGCATTACACCTGAAAATAGTAAAAGAGAAGAAAAATAAGGAAACAAATTCACATGCCTTGGCTTTTTTCAAGTTTCAACTCCCTTGCTCGTATGATGCATGTCATAACAATAGTCTCTTTATTTTCATCAAAAACAATAGTCTCTTTCTCAAAATTCATCCTAATTAATATCAGCCCCACCAATTACAAGGTACTTCATTGTTGATAAATACAATGTTGAATTCTACTTATCAAAAAAAAAAATGATGAATTCTAAGAGCAATTCAAACTCTAGCAGCACTTATCCCATCATCAGCAGTAACTAGATTAAATTGTTTGCACCATTCAGCTCTCGGTAAGGCCACACGCAGTTGCACACTAGCAAACTAGAACCATACTACTCCCTCTGTTTCAATAATGAACCTATTTCCATTTTGAAAATTATTTAATTTCAACTTCTTGTTTTTCCCTTAATGAGAAGCTTCTATAGCCACATAAATGTTAATGGCATACTTAAAACCACAAGTTTCAAAAGTCATATAACCAAACCAATGTTTTGACATGTTTAAAATAACAAGTTCCAAAAGTCTTCTTTCCTTTTCTTAAACTCTGTTCCAGTCAAATAGGTTCCCATAAATTGAATGACTGCCTCATTCCATTTCATTTCATGCCATCTTCCAACAGTCCCCAATGGATAGGTGTCACATCCTTTGCAAGTTTATTTTAGCAGAAAACTTGATCTTCCAATTCTTTACTACCCCCAGTAGTTAGAAGGCCTATTTCAAGAAAATTCTCGAATCACGTGTTTTCTCCTCGTAAGACTGAGAGATCATCCCTCAAAAGAGTACATCTGAGGCGGGATCTCAACTTTGAGTGGATACAGTTCATTTCAGACCACATACTTCACACGTGCTTATTATCCATACAACTAACCAGCCTCTCCAATATGTAAATGTTTACCATATGAAAACTAACTTTATCAATGCAGCAGCACTAACATGAAGCAATTTTCGACAGAAAGACAATCTCCACAAAATGTGGGGATTGGCCAAATTAACAGTCACCAAATCCGATATATATAAGCAGCTTTATACAGAAATTAATGGTTATGCACCCCAAGTACAAGCATCAAATAAGAAGTCATATAGATCTCTCAGATTTTAAAGTGAACATGATCTAGAACATCTACTTAAGAGATGGATGGAAAATACTAGAACAAACCATGACTAATTTGACAGGAATGCAAATGATGGGGGCTGGCTAATGAGATACAGTACCACCCCCCCCT